TAAAGGGAAGATGAGGAAAAGAATGTCAAAAGGAGAGTATACAAAGGATAGCTGTATTTAAAAGTTGATAAGCATTTTTGACAGAAAAGTTAAAATATCGATTCATTTTTTGCTTAAAATTTGAATGAGAGAATCAATAGTTTCATTGGCCTCTTGATCTTCAATAGAATTCCTCTTTATCTCAACCAAGAGGTGATTCAACCAATCAATAAGTTCTTGAGGGGTCGGAGCATCTTTCGGGCATTGTGATCTGATTGAAGAGACCGGAACAGGAATTGAAAATATAAGAGGAGTTCGTTTTATTAATAATTTCGGATCGCTGACTTCACTATTATTTGATGAAAGGTCGTCAGAACGTGCGAATGCAATAGCGCTTTGCAATTGCGAGCGGCCAGATAAAAGAAGCAGTAGTGCCGGTAGAAGAAATTCTGCCGCACCTCCATGATATGAAGTGGAGACAAAAGCTAGCTTTGCCATTTTTTCAACACAGCCAGAAGACTGAAGGGTTGCTAAAGATAAAAACAAGAATAATGTGATTGTCAGGCGATATGGAAGAATTTAGGTAAATAAACCATTTGAGGAGAAAAGACGACTATGCTAATAAGCGGTCAAGCCAAATGGAGAAACTGTGAAATACTCATAAGTTATTATAACTTGATTTGAGTAAGAAATTAGATTTCTTGATTATCCCTTGAAATAATCGCAGTCCAGAATAACGGCGAAGTCACTTCAGTCTAGACTTCAGAACGGATAACTACATTTACAGCATTAATTATAACACGAGTAGGTTCAATCTGAAATGAACATATATTAATAAAATTTAAAAAGACGTCCATTTGATGATTAAAGTTGGTAAAACGTTCTACTCCAAAAAGTTGGTTTAGGATTATGTGCGACTATCCTTAGTAATAATGCCGAGCTGAATGCCGGTGAAACATGCCTAGGGCTAAATATTTTGCTATGTCTAAAGTGGAAGAGACAATTGAACGGCCGATTTATTTGAGAGCAATTAATAGACAAAAAGGATTCAAAAGATATGTAAATTCAACAAAGGCCTTAACTAAACAATTCAAAATAATTTGGCATAGCCTTCGAAGGTGAAATGAGTTAAATTCATTTATAATAGGAGTTAGGGATATTTTTTCAGTTAATAAAACAATAGACAACTATTAGATAAAAGGAATCAACATAAGTTGCTCAAAGTGAGTTAAGGATATAGTTGGGCTTTCCCCTAGTGAAACGAATAGGACATTGAAGTTCACCTAGCCTTGTCATTTAAAAGACTACCTTATTCAGGGTGGACTGCAGTTTCGACCTAGTCTAGGGCTCATAAGCACGGCAACTGGTTATGAGTATCGTGGCGACGTCACCACTTCATTACGCAGCCACTAATGACAATAGGTCAGAGGACAGATGGTAAGCCATGCCTCTCCCAAATAGCATTTATAGTTGGATTGCCTAGTAAACAAACAAGTACTTTGTAATGCAATCAACAACGTTATTTATTTTCGGTATTAGTATATTTCGAAGTTAACATTAATAATTAAATGAAGACTGTCACTCTAGACTGCATGGGCTTATTTAGGGGCAGAGTTGTTCTACGAGTTTCGACACTGCCCAGGTATAGTCATCACTTCCAATGGGATTATATACCCGGCCGTATCGCGCTGAGGTTACTACACATTTTGACGACATGGCTAGATGGAAATCAATGGTATCATGAGGCTCGCAGAACATATTATAGAAGAACTAAACTATCAATCCTTAAATCACCGTAAGCAACTTAGGTTACGTTTATATTTAATAATGAATAACAATCTAGAAACCTTGTGTGAATCAGAACAATATTTACTATAGATGTGCTATTCGCGCTACCGTATAGATTACCACAGCATTTAATAGAGGAACAAGAAAACGAGTCAGTGCCTTGTATATAAGGAAAGTTACAGAGGAGGACCTCAATGTGAGCAAAAAACTCAGACGATACTGGAGTGTGGTGTTGGTGCAAGAGGACAGTGTTAGGTCACAAGGAATGACGACGGAGCAGGGCGGGTCAATGTGGGGCACAGTTCACAGTCGAACTAATTTCCCACTAAAAATACTCTTACGTTCTTTTAGTACCACGTTCTGATTGGCTCAAAGGAGAGGCTTGATGTGATAACTAGATTCGCCTAGTCCCCGTGGGACAGTGCCGGTGAGTCAGGCTCCACTTGGTGTTGCATAAGTCGAGAGATGACCGTGAAATGTACCCAAACTGATTGTGGAGTAAAGTCACTACAACCTAATTATACTTTAAAAATCATTATATGCTTATAAATATGATGTAGTAGTATAGACAAAGATAAAAATATTCCAAATAATAAACTCAAATAGATGAAATTGGATACAAAGATACGAGGGAAATAAAAATGGTAAACCTACGAATAAAATCATCTGTTATATCCTGAGATAAGCAGTAAATGAAAAAAGCAGCCTTATTCAGAAGTCTTAAAATGGCATCATTTTCAGAATTCACCAAATACGATTTTCCTTGTAGCATGTTAGAAGCCCGCTCCATCATACAAAGTACAGAAGAAAAACAATCGCCTTCTAAAAAGAGCTTGAGACAGTCCTTGTTACCGCGAACGAAGCCTGAAAAAAGAAACCGAGGATAATCAAGGGTAATTTAGGCGATATATAACATAAGCTAGGGGGTAGTGCTTATATCGTAATTGTCGTAAACATTGGCTTCAAAAACTCATCGCATATTTTATCGACTACTTAGTTAAGTGGCAACACTTGCAAATAAACTAACAAGAAGTTCCGTGAAGTAGTCCTTTCATCGCATGTGGGTCAGTCTCCTTGTCTAATGTGTCGAATAAGTATTTTCCAAGACCAAATTCAAGAACACGTTTTTGAGCATACTCATTATTTTGGGTTAAAATTGCCAAAATTTCTCCAGCATAAGCACGAAATCGATGGCCTTCATGTTTTAGCATTCGTGAAATAAGTCCAAGTCCATCCATCTTAATGAAATCATTTGCGAGATCGATTTCTTCCGTTAATGACATTATCTCATCGATGCAACTTTCAATATCCTCTGAGATTGTAGCTGCATCGATTCCACCATTCAGCTTATCAATATGCTGACGCATTATCTTAGTTCTATCAACGTACATCGTGGACAAGGCTTCATTTAGCCATTTGGCACGCTTAAGAGTAAATTGCGAAGATTAACATACCTCAGGGTCAATTGGTTTTAACTCGCTAGCACCATCATTTTCTTCACCAACAGAGGTAGCAAATTTCAAAAGCCCTTGGAGATTATTTAATTGCCTATCTTCCATGGGCACGAGTTCGCTCGTAGATTTAAATTAGCGGCAAAAACAAAAAAATTTACAACTTAATAATTTATTAATAATACTGCAACCTTTAGCTTGAAAATTTAATAACTTTGCTAGAGTGCATTCTGAAGTTTTACTCATTCACGTGAACGTTTTTAATTATTCATGGGACTATTCGCTAATCGGCTCTACGATTGCACTTAAGATGAAACTGTCTTTCTTTATAATAACAGTTTATATTTTTATATTGATAAGAAGTAGTTACAAAATATTTTTT